TATTTTCTATGTTGTAGTGGTTTTTCACAGTAGCAGTTGCTTTGGTAAGTATTTTTAAATCATGGTGAAATCTTTGGATACATATATTTTTTAAAATTTTATTTTGGTATCATTAATCTACAATTACATGATGAACATTATGTTTACTAGGCTCCCCCCTTCACCAAATCCCCCCCCACAAACCCCATTACAGTCACTGTCCATCAGCGTAGTAAGATGCTGCAGAATCCCTACTCATCTTGGATACATATTTTTATCCATTCCATGAAAACCTGTTTCTGGGAAATGTTTTCCTTAGAAATGTTTTGTACCCTTTTTTCCTATTTAAAAATGTACACTATCTCTAACTGGATGGTGTGTTAATTCTTTTTTTAAATTCTTACTTGAATGAGTTAGGTTTTTCTCTATCAGCTATTTGCAGAAATTTCCTGTTGGTATTGGGTCATGAAGGGACAAGAATAGCCTTCCATGGTGTGCAGCTCAGAGGTCCCTTTCCTGTTTCTAGACAGATGGGTTGTTTCCTTCAAATGTGGTGCTTTTATATATCTGCAGCTCCTCTGTTTCCCCACACCTAAGCACTTCCGAGGGGGCTTGGCCACTTCATGGACCTCTGCCACCCAGCCCATGGCCTTCGGTGCCATCTCCTCATTTTCCATACTGGTGATTTCTGAGTTCTCCTTATAGGGCCCTATACTCCACTCCTTCTTCCACAGAGCTCCTGTCACTTCTTCATGCCGAGCTTTCTCTGCAGTTCTTTTTATATAAACTGCTTTTGAACACAGTTGCACATACTTTTGAGTTTGGAGCATTTCTCTGTCTCCTAGATTACTGAAAATTATTTTAGATTATTTAATTCTCCTTGTTCTTTATATAGTTTCCAAGAGACTATATGAGAATATGTATTTACTTATAATATATAATATAATATGTATTATATATAATTTATGACATAATATAATATGTAATTTATATATATGTAATTTAACCACTTGAGATCCTCAGTTAAAGAACTACTGAAACATGTACCTCGTTGAGAAGAAACAGATCTCCGAAAGAAGGCACGGGATTCCAGGAGCACCAAAATATATAAATATGTTGTTCAATTAAATTAATTTATTCACTTAAATGATTTGATTAACTATTGACTGGAGGGAAATAATTGTAATAATTATCTTTTGTATATTTAAGATATGACCTAAAACTTCTGGCAATAAAAGTTGTTTTCTTATATAGAATCCTTTTAGATTTTAACAAAAGTGTAGTTAGATTTTTGATAAAAAATATAAAGGTAAACACACCACACATACACACACACAAACACACAAAAGAGACATACAATTGATGACTTATAATTCAGAAGAGGGGAAAATAGTAATATAAAAAAATTGCCAGTTAAACAGAAAACAGAGAAGAAAAAGCAAAGAAAAGGTGGTAAAACATACTCATAGTAAGATGAAAAAATAAGTCCAAATACATCAGCATTTCCAATATAATGGAGTTACCTGCAGAAAGTTAGAGATGATCATACTGGATTATAAAAATAAAGTCTAATTTTATGTTACTTAGAAAGGACATCTGGAATAAAACCACACTGAAGTGCTGCAAATAAAAAATGGATGGCAAAAGACACACCGTGTAAACACCAACCAAAACAAACTAACCATTTTAACATTATGGAAAGTAGAAGGCAAAAAAGCACTAGTGGGCATAAAGAGAGACACTTAGAATGCCAAAGGAACAATCCCCCAAATAATATAACAATTATAAACTTGTATAGCCTCAAATACTTAAGGCAAAAGCTAACAAAGTTGGAAGGATTAATGCATAAACCCTCAGTTTCTGTGGGAGAATTTAGGCATATGTCTTTAAGAACTGGTACAGTAGGCAGACTTAAAAATTAATAACATAGGAGTTAATACATTTTTAACAGGGAAAAAATACATGAGTATAAAGTTGTTAATTACTGGGGGAAAATAGAAGCATTCCTACTAGTCAGAGAAAAGGTAAAATTGCTCACTATCTCCAGCATAATTTAACAATGTATTGGAGGTATTAGCCAGCATTGGGGATGGGGAGTAATAGAAATTAAAAAAATAGGAAGGAAGAAGTAAATGTATATTTGCAGGTTACATCATTATATGGCTGGAAAATCCAAAAAAGGAAATGGAAAACTACTAAAACCAAAATGAGAATTTAGTAAAGTCACAGTATACAAATTTAAACACAGAAATCAGATGCCTTTATATAGAAAACTAGTTGGAAAAAATAATGAAAGACCATATTTATGAGAGCAATGAAGAAAGAAAATTTTCCAGCTATAAATGTAACAATAAATGTACAAAACCAATCTGGGAAAATTACAAAATACCCCAAGACAAAAGTCAGACTTGACCAAGTGGAAAGGCATGTCATGTTTATGAATAGACCATGTTGTGAATCAACATAGTGATCTCTTTAAGTTAATTTGAAAAGGTAATGTGATCCCAATACACGTACAGTCAGTTTTGTTCTAGACCTAAAAGAGTGATTATGAAGTTTATTTGGAAGCATAAACTAGCAAAGATACTCAGGAAATCTTTAATAAAGAAGAGCTTTGGGGTCACAGCCCCCAATCAAGTACGAAATATACTTTTAAAGCCTCCATCATGAAAATTGTGGGGTTGGAGCACAAATAGATCAATGAGACATCATACAAATCTAGAAATAGATATAAAAGCATATGACAAATTATATTTTAGCTATCATGATATTAAAGTTCCTCTACTCTTGTTGTGGAAAGGACTTAAATAAATGGTGCTGAGACAACTGGATGGTCATATGGAAAAAGGCATAATTGAAACTATTCCTCAAACCATAAAGTAGGGAAATTTCCAAGTGATCAAGTACCTAAAGGTAAAAAACAATAACACCCCCCCCATAAATGGTAATAGAAAATGTGGATGAATTCTGTTAGAATCTGGCAGTGGGAACATTTTTCTAGCAATGACCAAAATTCCAGTAGCTATAGAAAAAGAAGATGAACTTGACTGTATAAATACAAAACAAGCAACCAAATCTTTTGTACAACAAAACCCCACAAGTGACCTAAAAAGACAAACGATAAACTGAGAAATAATTAGCAATTTTTACCACAGAGGGCTATTATCCTTAATATATAATGAATGTCCAAGATTTGAGAAGAAAAAGACCAATAACCTCAGAGAAAAGAAATGAGCAAAATATATAGAGATAGTTCACAGGTAAAGAAATTAAAATGGCTCTTAGGCATATGCAAAGATTTTCAACCTTGCTTCTAATAAAAGAAATGCAAATTAGAACTGCCCTGAGATGTCTGCTGCGCACCTCTCACAGTTACAAAGATCAGTAAGTTTGGTTAACACTTTGTTGGCAAGCCTGTGGGGAAAAAATGTTGGTGTGAATGCAGCGTGGAAATTTGGCAATACATAGCAAACCTGTTAAAACAGAAATCCCCCTTGTAGAAATTTGTCCCCAAAATACCTGGACAAAATAAAAAATGACATAAGCATAAAACTATTAATTGTAGCACTTTTATAATAGCAAAGGACTGGAAACAACCAGTGTCCTTCATTAGGGGACTGGCTCACAGATACAGGAATGTCAAAAGTAAAAATATAGAAAATATACATTAGACATTAAGAACAACATCAAAGAAACGGCAGATGTAGCATTACAATCCACCAGGAAGATAAAATAATTCTAAATTTGCTTGTAGTGTGCTTAATAACATCTGAAAAAACATAGTGCAAAGTTGACGTAACTGTAATGAAAGATAAACACATTCTTGGTTTTTTTTAATTTATTTTTTACTAAGGTATCATTGATATACAATCTTATGAAGGTTTCACATGAGCAACATACATTCTTAGTTTTAAAGGGAAATTATATCACACCTATCTCAATAACTAATGCAACAAATGGACAGAAAATTAGTGAGATTTGACCTAAAACACATTATATCCAAGTGCACAAGGAACATGTACCAGAATTGATCATATACGGCCATAAATTGAACTGCAACAAATTTCAAAGGATTTTAAGTCATGCTGAGTAAATTTTCTGACCACAATTGCATTTGAAATCAAGTAATATAAATATAAATTTGAAATCAAGTAATATAATGATAATTAGAAAATCTCAAATGTATGGAAATGAAGCAATACTCTCAAAACAAAACAAAAAAAGAACCATCAAGAACACCATGGGTCTATAAAGAAACAGTGAAAGTTAGAAAATATTTTAACTAAATGTAAATGAAAATATATTTTGAAACTTGTGCACTGCAGTTAGAATCATGCTTAGAGGAAGATTTATAGCATTAAAGGAAAATACCAGAAAAAAGTCCCAGGCTCAGTAGCAATCATTTGAGTATCATCTCATAAAATCAGAAAAATAATAGTAAATAAATGTGAAAGTAGAAAAGAGCAAATAATAAGGAGCAGAAATTAATGAAATAGAAACAAACGTAACAAGGGCTTTCAAAAAAGCAACAGTTTGTTATTTAAAATACAGGTAAAATTGATAACACCCAGGCAAAATTTATGGTAATGAAAATGAACAAATTATGACTGCAACAAATAGATGAATCTCACAAATGTTGAGCAAAAAGAGCTAGCCCAAAGTATATACTGTATGATTCCACCAATATATATTTCAAAAAACAGACAAGACTACAAGACTATGTATTGTATTAAAAGTAAAAACGAGTTACCTTTAGGAAGAAAATAAATTATTGGAGCAATTGCCTTGAGGGGCTTTTGGGATACCGGAAATGCCTATTTCTTGAATAAGTATTAGTTGCATAAGCATGTTCGCCCTGTGAGAATTCATTGACCTGTGTCCACTTGTGATCTGTGCTTTTCTGTATTGCACAGCAGTAAGATTTTATCAAGGAGAGACAGATGTCATCAGAAAATAGTTGCTTGACTAAGTCAAAGCCAAAGAAAGATAAGAACAAACTGCTTTCTCCTTCACTCTTATAGCTGCCTGGAATATGATGCGATGCCTAGAGATTCAGAAGCCATTTGGAATCCTGACGATGAAAGCCACAAATGACGACAACTCTGAAGATGGCAGGAGCAGTGACGTCAGCCGTGGACAGCCCACGACTGACAGATTACACAGGAAAAATTAACCACTTGCCTAGTCTGGAGCCATTCTTACTTGAAGCTCAGTGCCACCTCAGCTAATGGTTTAAATATCCAATTTTTAAAAGTAGAAAAAGAAGGAAGCAAATAACATATTCATAATGCACAAAATGGAGAAACAATAACCTACATAAAACCTTTTAAAATAAAGCCAACAAAATAAGCAAATCTCAAGCTTTATAAACCGCGTTAAGAAGGATAAAGGAAACACTACTTACACAGCATAGTTTTAAAAAATATATACTAAGAACTCTGCTGCAGGGATGGAAAAGGAGAGAGTGCTCTAGAATCCATGGTAATTTACGGAGCCTTCTGTTTGGACCTCATCATTACCTGACACAAGAGGTGTCCATGAAGCAACATTTTATGCTTCCAATTTTAAAAGCGTTAACTGTCCTCTCTGTAAGTAATTGGAATTGTTGCTTTGATTTCAACTCATCCATGAAGCAGAAAATAACCCGGTCTGGAGGTGAGACGCCCTAGGACCACACATTGAATTCCTGGGTTTTGCCCACGGCTTAAATAGAGAGCCCTCTAGGGGCCAGCAGTGGGATAACAGGAGCTGCTGTGTGGCACGTCGAGAGAGACGGGGGAGAGAAAATGGTGGCCTCTAGACTAGAGCTTCTAGCCAAAAGAGAAGACTTAGCATCAGAACTCGTGATCCTTTCTCCTACCCTTTCCAGATGGCCACCGTGTCGCACAGCGGCATTGGAACCGGTTCACAGAGAATGCAATGCGAGTGCCCGCTCTGGAGTTGTGCAAAAGCGCAGCTGTGCGCGGGTACCGATAGAGTAAGAGGGAAGGACTGATCAAAGTCAGCTCAGAGAAATCTAAGGTTCCGAAAGTGTTCTGAGCCTGGTAAAAAACAAGGGAGAGAGGTTATTGATGGGAAAGTTAGGGGTGTGTGGGGGTCACATTAACCAAGATTCAGAGGCAGCAGTAAGCGACCCTCGTGTGCAGAGGTGCCCTGGTCAGACCACCTCAGTAAAAGAAGAGAGTCAGACCAGACTCTCCTATGATTAGGGTGGAATGTTTTGAAGGCTGGACTGAATAACTTCAAAATGTGCTTTGGGGAGGTTAGGATATGTGCTGAGGCGCCTCCAGGGCCAGGTAGGAGGGAGGATTAGAGAGAGAGTCAGAGAAGTTAGGCGCCAGGGAGATAATCCTGTTTTTTCTCTTACCTAGTAAACTTGTCCTTTCCAAGACCGTCTTAAACCCCTAGCTGTAGGTGTGCCTTCAGAGTCTTTGGTCCACCCACAATTCAGTCTAGATAGTTCAGTTTGGATCTCAGTGACCCCTTTTTCAAATGTCTGCTTAATTTCTTCCCATAAGTGTCCTACTGTTCCCCTAAATTACAGTTTTCCTCTCTCTAGCCCAATGATGCTCCTACTCGTATCCTTGGACTCATCCGTTAATCTCCCTCACTCCTTCCTTCCCTGCTGAAACTCAGCCAGTCTTCAAGTTCTTTCAATATTTACCTCACAGAGGCTCTCCAGAAAAACTTCCAAGTGACCAATGCAAAGATTCTGAGAGTCTATGATCTCAGACTGTCTTTTATTACCCACCAGAGAAGGCAAATTCCAAGTTAAAACTCCACTCCTGCTTGGTGAGACAGTGACTGAGGAGTTAAAAGGGTGGCAGCATCAATAGGTGAATTTTGATGGGTCATACTTGTCTGTTCTTACATTATTAACTGTATTATGTTAACCGTACTTCCATTGCCTCAAATACTTGTGGAGAGCTGTGGGGCATAAACTGAATATGTAAGATGTGCCTGGGATTCAGATGCTCTCTATCTGGCCCATCCTAGGCTGTCCCAGAGCCCTTACCCCAGGCCAGGCTTTCATATTGAGATGATAGCAGTAATTTCCAGATTGGTCCTTCAGTCTCTACATTTTTTAAAAATTATTTTTTCACTTTGATATCATTAATCTACAATTACATGAGCAACATTATGTTTACTAGACTCCCCCCATTATCAAGTCTCCACCCCACCCCATACACCATTACAGTCACTGTCCATCAGCGTAGTAAGATGCTATAGAGTCGCTACTTGTCTTCTCTGTGTTGTACAGCCCTCCCCATGCATGCCCCCACATTATGTGTGCTAATAGTAATGCCCCTTTTATTTCCCTTATCTCTCCCTTCCCACCCACCCTCCCCAGTCCCTTTCCCTTTGGTAACTGTTAGTCCATTCTTGGGTTCTGTGATTCTGCTGCTGTTTTGTTCCTTCAGTTTTTGCTTTGTTGTTATACTCCACAGATGAGTGAAATCATTTGGTACTTGTCTTTCTCCACCTGGCTTATTTTACTGAGCATAATACCCTCTAGCTCCATCCATGTTATTGCAAATGGTAGGATTTGTTTTCTTCTTATGGCTGAATAATATTCCATTGTGTATATGTACCACATCTTCTTTATCCATTCATCTACTGATGGACACTTAGGTTGCTTCCATGTCTTGGCTATTGTAAATA